TTTTAGGAGGGTGTGGACGAGTCTTAACTTTTATAAAGAATATCTCTTTGGGTTTGAGACTTTAGTCTTTGCAACTTTAGGGATATTATCTATTCACAAACAGCTTGTAACACTCCAAAGAGAAAGGAAAACTTGAAATCACATCATATGACCCCTTTAACGTTTTTATAGAAAATATTTTATACTTTGTTATAGAAAAACAAGTTATGCTCAGAGTCCAGAGCCTCGATCATAACATTATAACAGGCATCTTCCGAGTAGAGACCTTCACTATCGCAGGACCTGCGGGCCCCAACGCAACAGAGTGCGGTGCGGGACAACACTTGATGGGCGGGTAGACACTCGTGTGTGCGGGATGCGGGAGAATAATGGTGTACTCACAACTAGGCAATCTTAACCGTGCCCGAGCGCGTTTTACCCCAAAGCCCGGTTCGTTTGACTAGTGTGATCGCTTCGTGCAGCGCTCTGGGCAGTTCGTTTAGCCGCCCTTTGCTCAGCTGGAAGAGGTGGGCCAGAGTGCGGTTCCGAGCCGGAGCGCGGAACTTATGATATGTGCAGCATGATTACGTGTACATTTCTGAGCGGCAAAAGTGATAGATCTGTAAAGCAACATATTGTGAGAGGGCCGTTTGTCACCACGTCCCAAACGACTCAAAATAATAAACCACAAAGTTAACAAAATGATGTACTCCACTGTGCTGAGCGAGAGCGCTTCTCTGCTGCCTTCACGTGCTATCGGAAACTTCCTATTTCCCACTTATGAAGTCGCGATTACTAGCACGTTGCATTCTTTTCTGTTAAAAATGACAGTGAACAGTGGTTTGTGAATGTTGATGCTTAGCCTAAATAATTTTATCGGGAGTGTTCATGTGAGCGCTGCTGCAGTCTTAGGCCCACAAATGCTCTCACTGGTTGAGACACGTGATGACACTGGCATAAAGTTGGCTTGACGTTAGACGTTCGATATTCGCAAATTTAGGGACTGTCTCTAAAGTTACATGCGATATTGGTATACACTTTTCTAACTTCAATAGCATTTGAGGAGAATGACTTGCAGACATAAAAACAACTGTAAAGTGTTCATCTAGGTGTCAACTATAATGCACACCTTTTACATTTTTGATATTTACTAAAATAAACTATCAAATCATATGCAAAAAATGCTACTTTTTTCAGTACCGAATGGGCTCAAACGCAAAATATGCCATAATTTAAAGCTCAATAGCATTTGAGCAGAATGACTTACAGTCACAAAACCAACTGTAAACTATTCATCTAGGTGTCAACTATAATACACACCTTTTACATTTTTTATATTTATTAAAATAAACTGTAAATAATATGTAAAAAATTAAAATTTTTTCATTACCGCATGCAACTCAAATATATGTGTAACTTTGCTACTGAATATATGTGTAAATGCTATTGAGCTTTAAATTTGCATTTGAGCCCATTCGGTTGGGAAAAGTAGCAATTTTTATTTATGATTTAGAGTTTATTTTAATAAATATCAAAAATATAGTAAGATAATAAAAGCAATAATGGAACATAAAACCATGTCATAAAACTGAATCTTGATACCACTTGATACCCCTTTGTTGTACTTTGTATGACTGCATACCATAGCATGGGGTCAAGAGTCGAGTTAATCAGCTCAGACACAACAGTAGTTGCTTTATAGGATTCAAGTTTGTATGACAGACTACAAAGCATACTTTCAAGACAAGTTACACGAACAATGACTGATTCAAAGACCTAAATAAGCTTTGATCTCAATTTGCATGGGCTCCGTTGTGTGAGAAAAGAAGAGTAGGATATATGTGAGTGTAATCATCTGCATTATGCACATAGAAATGCAAAGCTAAAAAAATAAAAAATAGAGAACACGGACATATAACTTCAACACCCTCAACTCAAGAACAATCATTTTTCAGCCAGTTATTGAAAAGTGTGCCAAGATAAATTATGAAAATTTAATAGCTTATGCCCTGATTTGGATGCACAGTGTAAATTCAACAGGATGAAAAATAATATGTAATATGGATTCAATTTATTTTTGTTTTTTAAATGTAGGTACTGTAGGTAATAAAATTGGCAAGTCCGATAAGTAATTTTGGCCCGGGGGTCAGGAGGCTGTCTGCCTTGCAAGCAAGAAAGATTTTTCAAATATACTGATATTTTGTCATCATTCTTGGGCTTACGAATAAGATATTGAGCTTAAGGCACAGCCGACTAATACACTTTGAAATGATTCAAAAGATGTGTTAAACACATGAATAGAGAAGGAAACTCACCATAGATCCTGGGGGTCCATCCTGACCACGTTCTCCAGGAATACCTTGCAATCCCTGAGGGTTGAGAAATCAACCAAGCCTGTGTGTTCATGTGTTTTCTGCTGCCACCACTGACCTGACTGACTCTTCTCGCCCTACTGCATTTTACTAGAGTCATTTATGGCTGGTAGGGTGCAAATTAAACTTTGACAAGCTGTGCAAAAAACACTGGTGCCCACTAAATTCCTGGAAAGGCTGTCTTTGTTTGTATAACCTCTTTATGATTCATAAAAGGCATAGCCCATCCTCTATAAAATGTGATCATCGTTTTTTATTTGCTCTGCACCGGGGAGCTCAGTCTGCTGGATTCATGACAACAATCTGCGTTATAGAGCTCCTTTCACTGCCAAAAAACGTCTCATTAATGGTAAATAATGTCTGAGGTGCTCAATATGAAAGCTTAGAAGTGATAGCCAAATAAACGTTTTCAGCCTAGTAGCTAAAGACTACATTAATGACTTTATAAAAACAATATAGACGTTTAAACAATTGGCTATTCTGTTAAGAGTGCTGAACCCACCATTAGTCCTTTACTTCCTGCATTACCCACAAGGCCTTGCAGTCCCTGGAGCACAAGAAAGAACAATGAGAATCAATTTGAACTTTCTAGTCTCAACATGTAACATCAAGTGTTGGTTAAAAATAATCGTTGACGTACCTGTTTATCTCTACTAGAGTCTTTACTGAGCTGTTTATATCAATTGTAATAATATCCCACATACTTTTTATATAATAATAATAATAATAAACAAAATAATTTTAATATATTATTTATACCATTAAAATATTATTAGTATTTATTATAGTGCTCTATTGTACTACTAATATTCTAGTTAAAGCATATATAATTTAATTTCTTCAAACAAACATTACTTAAAATTATTTTAAATATCATCTGAACCCATATGTGTCTTCATGTGTCAGAATAAATAAATCTAGAATTAGAAGCCATAATATAATGTTTCTTAATATTTTCGCACACTATCTTATTGTTATATATTTATATTTAATTGATGTAGAAATGCATCAATGATATTTTTTTACAGTTCATGGTATTAGAATATAGAATGGGAACCTGTGTACCAGGCTTTCCTTCAGCTCCAACAGGTCCAGGTGGGCCAGGTAAACCCTGCAATAAACACCATCAACACTGACATCATCAACATTCGACACAAAGATTGACACTAGTCTCAGCTTTTGTGTATGAACACTTACAGGAAGTCCAGGCATGCCAGTGTGACCCCTCTGCCCTGTTCGACCCTGAAAATAAGACATGTATTGAGACTTTATTCAAATCAATATCACACAGCTCATCTACATGAAAAGATCTATTTATAATACCTTAAAGCTTAGAACCATATTATATGACAATACACCATAAAGTGTATTACCTTTAGGCCTCTAGGACCAGGCTTTCCAGGGAGGCCTTCAAGACCTTTGCTCCCCTTCAGTAAAATCAAGATGGACATTTCACATTGGAGAATATTGCGCTCAATTTGAGACACTGAAAATCTTAATGCATGTAATACAGAGCAACTCTGACCTTTGACCCCTCCTTTCCCACTTTGCCATGCGGACCAGCTTCTCCATCCTCTCCCTGTGTGAGGATATTGAGGTGTTTTATTATATATGTTTCAGAATTTTTATATATTAGTGAAGCAATATTAATGTAACTCATACCTGGATCCCCTGTGGTCCTGGCAGACCTCTGACACCTGGGAAACCAGGAAAGCCTGTTGGTCCCTGCTCACCTTGAATGCCCTGTATCCCTGGGGCTCCTCTAGCACCCTGGGAGGAAAATACAATTTTCAACAAGTGACATCTGTGATCATGAGGATAGCAACCTATTACATCAACTTGAGGTAAAATGTAGACACTATATATACGCTAAACCAATTCATAGTTATATGTTTACTTTGTTTCCTTTAGGTCCAATGTCTCCCTGGTCTCCATCAGGTCCTCTGTTTCCCTTAAAAACAATAAAGCCATTAGAGCCAAAATAAAAACTCAGTAGTCAAGACAGGTAAAAATAGCCAGCATTAGCTTACTTTGATACCAGTAAAACCTTTTGGACCTTGTATTCCTAATACACCCTAAAGAAAAATGAAGAAAAAACAAACTAATTCACCAGTACATGTGAGATATTAAATTTAAAATACACAGTTATCTAAAAAAAAAAAAAACTGGTATGAACTACAGTTGAGCTTTCTCATTAGGAAAAAAAAAACTCTTCAGACTGAATTTGGCTTTTACCATTAATCCTTCAAATCCTGGCTCCCCTCTGAGGCCCACTGGCCCTGCAGGGCCCTGTAAATGAGCAGGGATAAGAAGGTATATTATCATCCAAAAGTCAGTAATTATTTTTTTTAATTACCAAATTTTATTCAGCAAAGATGCATTAAATTAAAATGCATTAAAAGTGTTATCAAAAACATTTGTTTTCCCCCCTTAAATATCTAAGTTTTATCATAAATATTATACATCAAAGAATACTGAAATAAAAATGTAATATGGTTTTCACAAAAATATTAAACAGCACAATTGTTTTCAGTTGAAGACTGAAAACAGTTGTGCTGCTAAAAATTCAACTTTGACATAAAAAATTAATTAAATACAAAATATAAAACAGTAATAATATTTCACAATATTACTCATTTTAGCAATTTAAAAATATTAAAAAAGGATTTTTTACACGGCACCCCTGCTCTCGACAGACGGCACCCCGGTTGGGAAACACTGGTTTATACTGTATTTTGTTAAAATATATTTTTAACTTCTTTCAAAAACATTAGAAAATCTTACTGACCGCAAACTTCTGAACATTAGAGTATGTGTTCATATTAAATATCTTGTGATAGAGAACTAAACAGCATGAAGTCTTAATCTTTAAAAAGTAAGAAGATCAAAGCAATTAAAAAAAGATACAGTAATTCACTCTGTGAGAAAAGAGTACTTACAGGTTCTCCTTTGGGACCAGGTAAACCTTCCCGGCCTGACAGCCCCTAGTAGAAAAGCATGTGAATACAATAATATAGATCATGATCAAGTAGTAAATTGTTTGAGTCTGTCATGGTCTGTTTAGTATGCATATATTAGTATGCAGATATCTATGTGAAATAACATAACGTCCAGTTATCCAATCCCTGACTATCTCTTTAATCAATCAATTAAATTCATTATATCAGAACAAACATTCACCTGCAGACCCCTTGGTCCTGGAGACCCGATCTGTCCTTCTAATCCCTGGGGACCCTAATAATGACATACAGGTTATGTAGAGGTCATTTATCAGTAACTTTACGCTGTCACAAATAATAAATAACAAACCTGTGGCCCCGGAAGACCAACAGCTCCTGGAGGCCCAGGCTCCCCCTAGAAAATAAAACAGAAATTGTTAGTGTGCAACAGAAAAACTGAGTGGAAATGTATGAGGAAAAAGCCAAACACTTACACGAGACCCATTAGGCCCCTGGGCACCAACCACACCTGTCCAACCAGGAGCTCCCTGCAAATATTTAAATAAGCTGAGATCTATTTTGATGCACAAATCAGATACTACCATTCAAAAATTTGTGGTATGATTTTCTTTTCAATCCTTAAAAAATATGTATCATGTTTTCAATAAAAATATTAACCAGCACAATTGATTTCAACTGTGATAATAAGAAATGTTTCAGATGAGCATATTAGAAAGAATCATACTGATTTATGATGTTCTGTATTACTTACTGGTGGACCTGGAAGGCCTGGTGGTCCCTCCATCCCATCATCCCCCTGTAAACAATAACATTAACAGATAACTAAAACTTGATGTCAAAATTAATGTGCAACTATGTAGATTTGTGCATTTGATAAACAAATGTTGAGCATTTATTGCACTATAGTTATTTTGTATTCACTTACATCAGGCCCTGGATGACCTTCAGGGCCATCCAACCCTCTCATGCCTTGTGGACCCTGAAGAAGAATTAAAATACAATCAGGCAAGATGCTGAAAATTAATATTAGGTTAATATGTACATTTAATAAGTATTTTTTTTATTCTGTTCATTCACAGTTACTATGAACGGTGCTGCAATCATAGTTGGATAACTTACAGAAGGGCCGACAGGACCAGGAGAGCCAGGTGCACCTTTTGAACCCTGTAAATGTGAACATCAGGTTACATATTTTCATAAACACTTACAATTATCAGCATGCAACTGTAGATTATAGAAATGGATAATAAGATATAAAAAAATGGAGTGCCTATTTAATACTGTAATTCTTTGCCTGACCACTAGATGGCAATATATCCTATCATCTCAAAGAATGCACCGAATAACATGAGGTGCTTGGTTTTATTGATTATTGGTTTAATCATGGCTTACTTTCTCACCAACTTTTCCCATATTTCCACATGGACCCTCTGGTCCAGCAATGCCCTGCAACAAGAACAGTGTAAGTCCTTAGGCAAAAAAAAGATGGCTCATGGATGGCACATCAATGGGATTTGAATCTACAATATTTTAGCTACTAGCTTCACTACTCATAACTCTTACCTCCTCTCCTTTCTCTCCAGGTGAGCCTGATTCTCCTTTATAGCCTAAAGGACCCTGCATTTCAAAATGAACTGTTAACACACCAAAAGAATCAGAAAACATGACATAATAAAACACTTCCAGAGCAGGATGCTGAGATGAATTGCTTCTTTCAAAATGTAAACGTCAGTGTAAGCTTTACATGGATATCACTTGACCTTTGGTCCTGGAATCCCTGGAGGCCCCTGAGGCCCATCCAGCCCGTTTTCTCCATCCTTTCCAAAGAGACCTGCTCTGCCTATCACACCTTTTGGGCCACGGTCACCCTGAAAGAATAGCACATAAAAAATAGGCTAATAATTATATATTAAGAAACAACACATTTCTATGTTCATCATAATAGCATGCACTAATAACTGTAGCTATAATATTATAGGTTTTCCAACCTACATCTAAACAAAGGTAAATTGCTTTAAAAGTAATTTGGCCTTCCATTATAAGTATATTTTGTTTGTACACACTGAGGTATAAATTATTTTCAGTGGTTATTAAGAGCATATTAAAGATGCTTTAATGAGGGCTTAAGGTGGATTAATTTAAAATGTAATTTGTTGGTGTTAATGTCAAATACAACAACAGCTCTAGATAGTGTTGTTGCCAGCCTAATGTATCTTGTTAATACACAGTTAACAATGTTCAATATATAAACAGGCAGGATGTATATGTCAAAATATCTAATCTGTGCATTAGGCGTTGCACAGTAAATGCAGCCAAAGAAACCTAGTGTTGGGCTTGGGGCTTTTATTAATATAAGGTTTTATTTGGCAAGTCCTTAAGATTTAGGAACACCACCTGGAAGCATTCATCATATCATGTGCAGTGAAAAGCAGTGTATGCAAGTGATAGATACAAGTGAAATGTGGCCAGACATGCACTGAACTGAGAGGACCACACACATAAACACATGCCTGTGACTGGTCACTATATAATAATTCATCAGAGGTCATGCTGAATTACACTCATAAGTGTCAAAAACGGACACTCAGCTCCTCATTTAGTGTCATTCAAAGTCAATGACATTCATCCATCCATCTATCTGCTCTTTCACAGAGTGGTACATTAAATGCTAACAGAATCTCATTTCAGCAGTGATTGATGCAAGGCTTTTGAGAAGCACAAATGTGACGTCTCGGTCACATGAAATCTGACAACCCGCAATGAGGAACGCAGATACTAGGGCCTTTGTTTACATCTGTGGTTAAATCTCAGCAATGATGGGTGGGGTTGTGTGTCTAATAACTGCCTCCCTTTCCCACACATTAAAAAGAAAACAAATTAATGCCACCAATTTGAGGTGACATGATGTCCTGCTTTGACCAAAAAGCAAATATTTGGTCTATTTACGAATTACATTATTTACAGCTGTCTTGACAGACTGTCATATTTTCTTATTATGGATATGATAACATTATAATTACAGACAACAACCTTTTTGGTGCACAATTAGCAGGTTAATGATATTATTACAGCAGCAATAGTGATGCCTTATCAAGTACCACTAATAAAAATGATGCTTGCCTTATTAAGCATCACTAAAAATGACAATGTTGCACTATAGGATATTACCATGTCTCCCAAACGTCCTGGACGTCCTTGTTCACCTGGCTCCCCAGGTGGCCCCTAGTAGACAAGGTTAAGAGAGAGATCATGATTTAGCAGAGCAGGTGTTGTAATCTGAGCTCAGGAAGTACTGCGCTACATAACACAGGTGTTGCTGAGCCTCATCAAAGTCTTATTAAACCAGCTGGTACCTCACCTGCGGCCCAGGTTTCCCCATCTCTCCTTCTGGACCAGGCGGACCTTGCGCTCTCTACAAGCTCACAGGAATCAGAACAGAGTCAGGGATATTACATGTTCCGAAACTTAACAAATTTCACAAATATGTGCTGTATACTTACAGGCCAACCTGCACGGAGAAGCTGGAAGAATGAAGTTTGCTGGAGGAGAGAGTGAGAGAAAAATATCATTATTTAACTGAGCATCACATGACTATCCATATGTAATCACATTATTAGCATCACAGCTGATATTAAATCTGTTACTCTATTAAGTTAAATCTACAAAACTGCTCTATTTGTCATGAGGATAGGTCAACTTGTTGTCCAACAACCAGATAAAACACTTTTGAGAAATTGCGGCTTTCACAGCTACAGTCATGTGCATGCAGACAGATATTTTTTTTTAGTGTCCTTAATGTCTTGTATGCCATAAATGCTGTTTTTAGAACATTGTGTCAAACTACAAACAGTCCAACTTTTTATGTTCCACTATGCTGAATCATGTTTAGCGGTTTTACATTATGCATCCCCTAAAAACGTGTCTGATTGTAGAGCTGCACGATATTGGAAAAATGGCATATTTTGTTTTTCTGCAATATATATTGTGATATGAAAAATATAAGAAATTGCTCAAGATTATTTGAAAATAATTAATATTTGGAAAACAAATATTATATTCGTAAAGAATTAATCAATTTAGAAGGGGAGTGCATGTGCACAGAACATGAAATAATTTTAAAAAGCTGAAAAAGACCATACTTTGAAGACTTTTTTTGAATGCAAAATATTCCTTTAGGGTTGAAAATTTTGGAAAAACATGAAATAGTTGATCGTTCATACTTGGGTATACTGTTTATAAGAACCAACTCAAACCTCTTTTACTAACGGTTGAGTTTAAAAAAATAACTCTTTCCACTCAAGTTTTTATAGGCCACATTCCCATTGCTTTTGACCCATTCAATATGACTATAAAATATTTTTATTGTGATTATTATTGAATAAAAACAAACAAAACAAGAAACATATTGAAATAATACTATTATACTGCAAAATAAGTCAAATAATAAATAAATCAAATATTAAATAAAAACAATAAAAATACTTTTATTTTTTAGTAGACTGAATATAGATCTTAATATCTACATTTTCATAATTTAAACCATCAAAATTTTATTTTTACAGCTCGTCAGAATATTTATTTATTTATATTTACTTATTTATTTAATTACACCCTTCAAGATTTGACTATTACATTGTCATATCATGACTTTATAATGATTTTGTTTCAATATATTGTGCAGCCCTATATATTGTGCAGGAGAAAACCAGCCTAATTATACTGAGCTTCATTGGTTAGTCATTCAGACTACCCACCAATTAGTCTATATTCAAAATATGTATTTTTATTATTCCTGGTCTATTCTTTAAGCTTTTCTCTGTTACTCTGAGGCGTCTTTTTAATGAAGGCAAAAGTCATAACCATGCTATTCTGGTCTTTCTAAAGCTTTAATGATCCATTCTCATCCAACCAGACTCTCAACTTAAAAGCTGCCCTGTAAACTACAAAGGCGTTCACAAAGGCAGCATGCTGCACACAGGACACATATCCCAAAATGAGTTACGAGGTCACAGGCTGCTTTTAATTAGACCATGCTTGACAGAGGTTTCGGTTATCAGAGCAGATGCGTTCGGAGATTCCGAGCTGGAAACTGACATGAAGGGTGATACTGATTGATTCTGTTGAGGTGACTTTGTTCTGGGTTTGAGCAAAGGGGATATCACCCCTTCAGTTACAGGAACAACTTATGACCTCATGCAGCACTAAGAGTAGAAAAGTCGTTGCCCTCAGCTGGATTGCTGGATGTACAGTGTGGGACGGTTCAAAGGCTGTATGAAACAAATACCCCATTACAGCAACAAGAGAGAATTCCTTCCCGTCGCTCTCTTTTTCTCTGAGGGCATCTTTATTCAATCACGGCTGTGGTGCTCATCTGAGCTATTACACAAGATACAGCTGTGCACTGACAGCCACTTTAAAGGGATGAGGGATAAAGTTTAATTTTGTAGACAGGGAGACCACAGACAGGGACGGAAAACCTGGAGAAACTGGAAAAAGAGAGAAAATTCACCTGAAATGCAGTCCATTCCTCAGGTGTGTTTCTCCACAGGTAGAATGTGGGCAGCCCAGGTGGCCCAGGAGGTCCTGGGACTCCACGGCGACCTGGACGGCCCTTAAGCCCAATGACACCCTAAAAACATCACAACGATAAGAAAGACTGCATCCCACAAAAAAAAAATAAAATACACTGACATATGCTTATAATCTTAAACAAATCTCAAACCTGATGAAAGCTGAACTGTTAGGATGAAAAACAAAATTCCATCACACATCTGCATTGTATAAACAGACATGTTGTAAATCAGCACTGTACATAACAGTTTAGACACCACCAGATAACTGATAAATATTATAGAAATTATCATGACTTTCACCACTCAAGTTATAAATACATTTTATTTCCAGATGTAAATACCAGTGCCTACAACACACCACCATTCAAGAAATTAACACTGTTATTCAGCAAGGATTCATTATAATGATCGAGACATTTATAATATTACAAAATATTTCTATTTCAAATAAGTACTGTTGTTTTGAGCTGAAAAGAAAAAATTACAGGTGTCACAGTTAATATTTTTGTGAAAACTATTTTCAACATCGATAATAATAAGAAATGTTTCTTGAGCATCAAATCAGCATATTATAATGATTTCTAAAGGATCATATAAATGTTGCCTTGATGAAAATGGTGTATCAGAACCTCTTTGCCATGACACTTAGGACATCTTATGTTTATAGTGTAAAAATGGCTATAGATGCGAGAAAAACTAGTCGCAGTTCAGTAGCCTACAACACACCACCATTCAAGAAATTAACACTGTTATTCAGCAAGGATTCATTATAATGATCGAGACATTTATAATATTACAAAATATTTCTATTTCAAATAAGTACTGTTGTTTTGAGCTGAAAAGAAAAAATTACAGGTGTCACAGTTAATATTTTTGTGAAAACTATTTTCAACATCGATAATAATAAGAAATGTTTCTTGAGCATCAAATCAGCATATTATAATGATTTCTAAAGGATCATATAAATGTTGCCTTGATGAAAATGGTGTATCAGAACCTCTTTGCCATGACACTTAGGACATCTTATATGTTTATAGTGTAAAAATGGCTATAGATGCGAGAAATACTAGTCGCAGTTCAGTATGTAAATAAATGCAAGAAAGAAGACCAATGCAAGCTCAGTTTGCAAATATTACAATGATATCACCACTATTGGTTTGATTGATGAAAACTTTGATGATTGATGATTTTTAAACTTTAGCATGAAGTCAGTAAGAAGAAATAGAAGTAGAAAAGGAAGCTAAAGAATACTGAAGTGCACAGTATAGGAAGTCAGAGATTGACAGCGTGTCTTTGCAAACTTCCTTGTTGGCATTTGGACTTCTGTTTGCAGGTTAAACATATGAGAGCAGTCATCTAAAGTGACAAAGTTCACAGAAGGACACAAAGGGTCAGCCGGTCATGACCACAGGCACGTGAACTTTCCACGAACTTCAGTGGAGAAGCACTTTGACCTCGGCTTGCGTTCATTCCCCGTGACACTCTGAGAGAGTGCTCTAGTCCATTTCTCATTAATAAACACTCTGATTATTATCATACCTTATCACCTTTGGGTCCTGGATAGCCATCACTCCCAGGACATCCCTAGAAGGAGCATAGTAAAAACCTTAAACATACAAAGCTACAGAGTGTGACCAAAATAAAATATATGGCTCTAACTTTTAACAGCAATGAGCTTGTTTAACAGAGTTAAAACTACAGGTTTATAGCATGTAGAAAGCTGTAAACAAGCAATAACAAATTAGGCAAACAAACTATTTTCCTTGTTGACTTAATTTGATCTAACAAAGCAACCATTTAGAGTTCAGAGGTCAGACAAGCTAATAAAAACTATTAACTTTAGGGGCACTCTGACCACGGTAATACGAGCACACTGTTAAACCTAAACCTAACCTTTTATCCATCACAAAACTATTGTAAAAGCTGACTTACTGCATGATGACACCTGGTTTACAAGTTTTTTGCGACAAAACCATTCACACAGAGTAAAGAATTCATCACTAAATGGCACTGAACAGTTTGTGACAAGCTTTTTGTCATCTGAGCCATAAAAACAATTGATCTAGCCTCAAAAAAATTTAATACTGGACCATTGTTACTGGACCACAATTTATATATTAATGTAATATTCATAAAACAAGCTTTTTTATATATTTTCAGTTTTTATGTTAAAGTTTTAGTATTTGTTAGGGGCACTCTGACCACGGTAATACGAGCACACTGTTAAACCTAAACCTAACCTTTTATCCATCACAAAACTATTGTAAAAGCTGACTTACTGCATGATGACACCTGGTTTACAAGTTTTTTGCGACAAAACCATTCACACAGAGTAAAGAATTCATCACTAAATGGCACTGAACAGTTTGTGACAAGCTTTTTGTCATCTGAGCCATAAAAACAATTGATCTAGCCTCAAAAAAATTTAATACTGGACCATTGTTACTGGACCACAATTTATATATGAATGTAATATTCATAAAACAAGCTTTTTTTATATTTTCAGTTTTTATGTTAAAGTTTTAGTATTTTTATTATTATTATTCTTTTTTCTGTTTAGCTTTTAGTAATTTTAGTACTTAATCTCAATCTTCTTTGAGCGTATTAAAGCTTAAATAGTTATCATTTCTACTTTTTGTTGAAGTTTTTCATCTTACATTTATATTGTATTTCAGCTTGATTTCAGTTGACAGAAACAGTTTTTAATTATTTCTGTTTTAGGTAACAATAACAACACTGCATCGCAGTACAATATTTTAGACTTAAGTGGTGTATATAAACACATATAAATTCTTAGTTTCAAAGAGATCAGGCTTTATAACTCCCTGGAACGATAAAATTAGGGCCTTATTCGATATATGACTAAATGCTTGACCCCCTCCAAGAAAGAAATGCAGGGTATGGTAGTATCAGAGATGGTAAAAAATGGGGTGTATTAATTACTGCATCTCTACTGCATTTTGCTTTCAGGCAAAGCAGTATCTACTTAATGTGTTCAGCCAACTGGTATAAATCAACCCTTCATGATCTAATGGAGGCCTTTTACAGTGCCTGGACCACTGGAGTTCAGCCAGAAGCATCCAGATGGCATCACATCTGGGTTTACTTCTGTTAGACCTGATCACTTAAAGCCAGGTGAATGCTGCATTTCGACTGGGTGATGCATTTCCCATTACTGCATCTCTACTGCATTTTGCTTTCAGGCAAAGCAGTATCTACTTAATGTGTTCAGCCAACTGGTATAAATCAACCCTTCATGATCTAATGGAGGCCTTTTACAGTGCCTGGACCACTGGAGCTCAGCCAGAAGCATCCAGATGGCATCACATCTGGGTTTACTTCTGTTAGACCTGATCACTTAAAGCCAGGTGAATGTTGCATTTCGACTGGGTGATGCATTTCCCCCTATTTTTCTATTTAGCTTTAATTATTTATTTATTTTTATTTCAAGTTTGGTGTTAGCAATTTTAGCATTCAGCTTAAACATATTTTATTTCAGGTAGTTGCCAAATTCAAAAGTTAGTTGAATTTTCATTTAAGTTTTTTTTTTAAGTTCATCTAATATTTGTATTTAATTTCAGTTTTATTGCAATTACCAAAATGAACTTTTATTAGATTTTGTCTTAGTTAATAATTAACAATAACAACACTGATATATTCTTATATACTATATACTTATATATACTATTCTTAAGTTATACTCACAGGCTCACCTCGGGGCCCCACTGGCCCCATGGGTCCTCTTTGAATGCGATACATATTCCCATCAGAGCCGATACTTATATATACTATTCTTAAGTTATACTCACAGGCTCACCTCGGGGCCCCACTGGCCCCATTGGTCCTCTTTGAATGCGATACATATTCCCATCAGAGCCACGCACAAGATCTCTATGCCTTCCTGTAAGTATAACGGTACCTGGGTGCTCCTCAGATCCCCAGCCATGTCCTACAGGGATATCTGGAGTTTTGGATGTTTTTCTTCCACTTCCTTTTGAGATGCCCTCCCAAGAAGTTGTTCTCAGAGGAGCCTGTGTGGTGGCCCCCAAATCCTCTTTTAACAAGTTGGATTCTCGATACTCAGGACTGGAGGTGGTTTCCAGGTGAATTTCACTACTAGGTACAATACTTCCGGTAGGTTTCTCAGGTACCTGAACATCCAGGTTGATAATTGTGGTATTCACTGGTTTCTTTGGTGAAGGTTTGCCAGGTTTGTGCTTGTCAGTGGTGATGTTTTCATCTAAATGTTTGGATGTGGAGTCTGGTTTTCCATCATGGCTGCCTGTAGTTTCAGTTGGGAAAGTTTTGGAAGGTTTACCACCACTTTTGGACAAGATGTTTTGGTCTACCAGGTCTGTATCCTCATCCACCTCAAACACATCACCTCGCCCTACAAAGCCAGGACGTTTGGATCCAGTAGGCAGAGTACCGTCACCACGTATAATCCCACGTCTATGGAGACCCTATTAACATACAGAAATTACTTCATGTGTACCAAGAATTGAGTGTAAGGTATTATTCAATTCTGTTTGTTATTCATTTTTACATCTGGGAGCTTTATGTTCACTATAATATGTTTAATGAAGATGTAATCACTTCATCATAATGTCTAATTTACCGTGAGAATGTTTATGCGACTTGATTAAAGCTGTAATCTCCATTTTTACATATGGTTGTGAAGTTGCTGCTGCTAACAGATGTTAAGGTAAATACAAGAGTGCAATAATTCCAGGCTGATTAACAACAACAATTTAAACTATTAAACATCTTGTAGCAATCAGCAATGATCTACTGAGATCTGACATCATGTGAAGATCAGATGTGCATGAGTTACATGCAAAGCTCACACATTTGTACCACTCCAAACAAGGCATCCTTCCATGTCTACATCACACTGGTAGTTAAAGAGTCAAAACAGAATGACAGTGACACAAAACATATACAAACAAATAACATGCAAACTTGCAAACCAATGTCACACACACACACACACACACACACACACACACACACACACACACAGGCTACATTTTGAAACAATGAAATCTGAAGAAAGAGACAAAAATAATAATAATAAAAAGAGGGAAAAATGACAAAGAAGAGTGGTCTGGATTCCATATGATCTGGCTTGGTTCTGATTCTGAATGATGAGAAGGGAAATGAAAAACAGCATTTTCCCTGTGATAAAACACCCACATCATAGTGTCAAAGGCAGAGGATTGTTGCTGTATATCAAAATGACATCATACAAAATTGAAACATGTGTTTCCTTAAAATCTGCTGTGATTCTGTCTAGTTTCTTTATTTGCATGAAGTCTAAGCCAGGTGTTTTAGTAATGTGACTTTTGTAAGACAATGAGTGCTTCAGTTCTCTTGGTGGCATCTCCCAGGTTTACAAGTGGATAAACTAAAAAAGAGACTTTAGAGTCCTGAAAAGTTATACGTGAAGCTATGTTGCACAATTATAACGCTATACTGTTTGGGGTTGCCAGGTCAGTCAATTTCATGGCTTCCAGGAAAAAAATGTAAAATATAAATAAACACATACCATTATATAATATAATATAATATAATATTATGACATCAGAACATAGCCTGCAAAAATATGATGGAAAAGCCTTTATATGAAGAAAACCTGGGCAAAAATCAGACCCCCTGCCCTAATACTATCACTAACAATGGCTCTTTCTGTGGCCATGGCCTGATAAGCTGACACTTGATCTCCAACTGGCTACGAAGGGCTGTCGTCCAGCTTATCTTCCTGTTGTTGGTCTGATATCCCTCTAATAGCCCGCCAAAGAGGGTCTGAACACACTGACTCACATTAAGTGCCCAGTCACCCAGTAAAGAGCAGCTTCCACCGCAGCTCTAGCTATAACACCATATGGCCACCAGGGGGCTTCCTGTTACAAGGACCAATATGAAAATATCTGTAACATCAATGCTGTAGGGCTTTGTCATTAATTAGTGACCAGAGGCTTTTGTTTGTTCTTTTGAACCTAATCAAAAGCAAAAGAAAAAAAATAGATTTACACTGATCCATACTGTATCCAGGCAACAGAATACCATACAGACATTGAGAAACCATAGCAACAACCTAGGATTGTGGTGGTGACATTTATACAGGAAATCTCCAACCACATTGATCGTCCTGACAAGTGGAGAAAATACAGAAGTGACTGCAACAAGATTGGGCAAAGAGCTATATATTAGTGTGACTATTAAGACATAATTCACTTCAAAAATGAATGTTCCCAGATTTGTTGCTGTGATGCACACATGATGTACAACCCTGCTATTATTTAAGGTCTGTTACAGAAAAGCCTGAATGCAGTTTAGACAGATCAGTGAAAAGGGCCAGATGACAGATTTGTGGGAGAGGTAAAGGTTTCCTATAAAAATAAAAGGGTTATGCCTTTAGGCTTCAGAGACATTATTTACATCGTCTACACGTCTACATGCCAGCTAACCACCACAAGTACTAAAATGTAAGTTTACATGCAAAAAATCAAAAGAAGCTTACCTATTATCATACTGTATCCAGGCAACAGAATACCATACAGACATTGAGAAACCATAGCAACAACCTAGGATTGTGGTGGTGACATTTATACAGGAAATCTCCAACCACATTGATCGTCCTGACAAGTGGAGAAAATACAGAAGTGACTGCAACAAGATTGGGCAAAGAGCTATATATTAGTGTGACTATTAAGACATAATTCACTTCAAAAATGAATGTTCCCAGATTTGTTGCTGTGATGCACACATGATGTACAACCCTGCTATTATTTAAGGTCTGTTACAGAAAAGCCTGAATGCAGTTTAGACAGATCAGTGAAAAGGGCCAGATGACAGATTTGTGGGAGAGCTAAAGGTTTCCTATAAAAATAAAAGGGTTATGCCTTTAGGCTTCAGAGACATTATTTACACACGCGTCTACATGCCAGCTAACCACCACAAGTACTAAAATGTAAGTTTACAAGCAAAAAATCAAAAGAAGCTTACCTATTATCATACCTCATTTCTGAAATGTACAAATTTGCATTTAATGTCTTGGTCTGTAAATACTGTATGCAAGTGGAAAGTCTAAAAAAAATCAAGTGCATACACACAGTCACGCACACACATAAGTCAGTACAAAAAAGCTGATTTGACTTGAAAGACAGTGACTATCTGTAAATCTATCACAGAGACACAGGTATTTATATGGGCAATGACAAACCAGCTGTATCTTGCACTTAGACTGATTTAAATACAGCTTCCCGTAAAATGCTTTTCATAGAGCCATGTCCTAGATTCCCAAAGAAAGTGGGAATTGGAAACTAAACAAATTTAATAAAGACGGTTAGGAGCAAAAACAAAATTAAGTAAGAAAACACCAATCACATCTGCAGAAATGACTGAATTAATTATCAGTCTCATCCATTAAGTTATTTTGGTCTTGTCATAAAACTGTTGCCACAGCTGTTGTTTTTCTGCCACTGAGGGTTTTTAAATATGGCGTCAAGCAGGGAATTCAATTTAGTTCTATGCAATATAATAATCTAAAAAAATCCTATAATGAACAGTGGTTATCATACAGTATATAAAATAAGCATCACAAAAAAAAAAAACAGAGAGAAATGAGAGAAGTGCAAAAAATCAACTACAAAATTATAAAATACTGCTAAACTAATAAATGTCAAATATAGTCAAAATCTGCACCCTGACACTGGACATGAACCCAGCGTTTGTGGTAATCTGGGTCGAACCAGCTCAGTGAAAAATATTTCCCTCATATAAACCGAAACCACTGTAACCTCTCACATCTGCAGCCAAACCACAGTCAGCCTTCAGGATAGAAGGACTAACACTTGATTACACGCACATGATGTTTCAACACGAATATTTATACACATACTAAAATCCATAAAAAAATGGAGCTTCATAAACTATTGGATTAGCGTGCACCACCAAACCCATGTGTCATTATTAGATAGGAAAAGTGGATGCATGATTTGTAAGAACAATTTTCCCAAACAAACACAATTCGGAAGGGTTGCCAGATGAAGCCATACCTTTGGAACGTGATTCCTCTGACCTTGCACTCCAAATCTCATTAAATCCAACAGAAACCATCCTAGCAAACACATCCAGATCCTCATGGTGGCACACACACATACACACACTCACTTACTCACTCACTCACACATACATCACCTGCAACAAAAATGCAGTGAAACTCACAGTCAAGACTAGTCAAATGCGTGCAAAACGCACTAGCACACCCACAAACTCTCAATCCACCCACATACACCCAGATTACATGCAGACACACACATATCATCTACTTCACACAATGAGACACCTGTTTGGCTGTGTGGCTTCGGGGCGAACTGAGCGGGTGTATGTGCAAGTGTGTGCTCTTGTCTTTGTAAGCTTGTAGTGTCCAGATACAAGTACTTACATGCATGCCTAGGTGGATCAGAATTAATTGATGTGGTTTATACAATAACACTCTGCTAATAGGGACAAGTGGACCAATGGGAAATTCAAACACTGTCCGAATGCAGACACATTTTTGGCATCATCTGACAGAATTCACATCTATTTTGACAGCTATATGAGATCCTGCTGATGTGAATTATGTGCAAGTAGAGAACAAAAAAAAAACCCACTTTATTTTGAATCAAAGCGAAGATCCTAAATCAAAGAGGGGGCCATCCACACCCTCCACTCATAACACAGAAAGCAATGTGGAGAGTCCTTATGGAGACAATCTATGGAGATCTGTCACAAGGGTCCTTCCCAAATAATGGATAATTGCTTCCAGAAGATTCCAGTCAGTTCTGGATTTGTAGGAGCCTGATGAGTGTTGACAAGGCTATCTATCTATCTATCTATCTATCTATCTATCTATCTATCTATCTATCTGTCTATCTATCTATCTATCCATCCATCCATCCATCCATCCATCCATCCATCCATCCATAATGGTAAAGAGTAATATTTTTTGCATGATAAAGTCTCTTTGCATTCACTGCATGAGATTTATTGTGGGTTTGGGGATGGACAGTACTAAATTACGGTCTCAGAACAGATAATTACAGTAAGTGGAGCTTGAGCTGAGGGTACCGGCAACAGTTTGTGACTGCCCGAGGATAGAGAGACAGTAAGGAGGAGAGCAGGCGTGATATAGACGCCTTCACAATGACATATAATTATGGAGTTTTCAGTAAACCATCATACACACCAAAAAGGGAAAAATGCCTTAACAGTTTGCACAGCTGAGCTCAAAAAAGGGCAGAATATCGTATAATCACATGGTGTTGTTACATGTTGTTACTCTTGTTTATTGTCATTGTGACATCCAAATGGGACACAATATTTTGCACATGTATACATAGATATTAACTTAATTACAAACACATTTATATTTGTTGTACTAAACAACTGACAGCTGCTGCAGGGAAACAGATCAATCTGAATAGATCAAACAGATTGTTTTATGGATGATATTCTCAGCAGCTGTCTTGACCAAAACCTATGATTCAGTTTGTAAAAACTTTTTAGAGCTTAAATATAATTTGCAAACACATTTCTAGTCAGAAATAGTTTTAATAGAATTCTGTTTATTTAAACTTTGTCTCACATGGCCATTGATAAAACTGTCATACAATCAAGTCATAAATATATTTCCGCTATTGGATTTTAAAGTAAACTATGTTTCAACCCATCAGTGGAATCCTTGGCACACTCCAGTTACTGTCTCTTACTGAGAGCTCATTATGAATCTGACATATCTGAAAGAGACGCTTCTCAGTTCAATGCGTCAGTGCATTGTTGTAATTTGCTGAGAGGGATTTTTTAAAGCTTGGGACATGGAAATGGCATGCACTGCAAGCTAACAGACAAGAAAACAACTCATTTCGTCAATTATAACTAAGATGACAGATGTGTTCATAGGCTCATCATCTTAAGTAGTTTTTTTAATAGGTTGCAAGGCAACTGTTCTATGAGCTCACCTCAATCCGTGTATGTACGTCAGTATGTGTGTGTAAATATCTTTGTAATGTCTTGAGGTGTGGCAAGAGGCTTGGAACGAACGAAAAACAGATACCTACAACACTGTTCAAAAGTTTGGAGTTTAATTGGAGTTAATTTTTTTTTTTTCAAGTAGTCTGTTTTGCAGAGCCCAGTCTGCATTTATTTGATCTAAAACAACAATGTGAAATATTATTCTAATTTTAAAGTCAGTGCATTGTTGTAATTTGCTGAGAGGGATTTTTTAAAGCTTGGGACATGGAAATGGCATGCACTGCAAGCTAACAGACAAGAAAACAACTCATTTCGTCAATTATAACTAAGATGACAGATGTGTTCATAGGCTCATCATCTTAAGTAGTTTTTTTAATAGGTTGCAAGGCAACTGTTCTATGAGCTCACCTCAATCCGTGTATGTACGTCAGTATGTGTGTGTAAATATCTTTGTAATGTCTTGAGGTGTGGCAAGAGGCTTGGAACGAACGAAAAACAGATACCTACAACACTGTTCAAAAGTTTGGAGTTTAATTGGAGTTAATTTTTATTTCTTTTTCCAAGTAGTCTGTTTTGCAGAGCCCAGTCTGCATTTATTTGATCTAAAACAACAATGTGAAATATTATTCTTATTTTAAAAAACTGTTTTCTATTTGAATATATTAAAAAAATTATATATATTTCTGTGATGGCAAAGTTACATTTCCAAGCAGCCATTACTCCACTCTTCAAATATGCTGATTTCATGCTAAAAATGATCAACATTGAAAACAATTTTGCTACTTAATATTTTTGTAAAAACGATCATACTTTTTTCAGAATTCTTTGATGAACAGAAAGTTCAAAAGAACAGCATTTATTTGAAATGGGAAAAAAACTATTTCTGTACTGTCACTTTTAATGCATTCTTGCTCAATAAAAAAAAACATTCATTTCTATTAAAAAAATCTTATTGACCTCCAACTTTTGAACTTATTTGAACTCACTATCAATAAATCAGTAAAACAATAACAATTTCAGGCAAAGTGTCTGAATGGCTTAACTGGGTGTGATATAACAACTTAGACATTAGTCCAAATCCCTGCCTTCTCCAGAGCTAATAATAATAATCCTTTGAGCAGGAAATGACAGAGATGATAGAACAAACAAAATGCACTCAGCCTAACCTTCAACCTTTGTCCCTGAAATCAGGAAAAAGAGGTGAAAAATTAGCAGCTCAGATTCTTTGTAAACAAAGATCTTGTATAAACAGCACTTCCAAAGTGCTTAGTTTAAGGAATGTTGGAAATGTCTCATGCATGTCCACACTTTTGTCCATAAACAAATAAAGTGCCTTTAAATGTATTTTAAACCTCTTAAATCAATTTTTTTTTTATCATTTTCAAAGTTTTTAAATTCCTTGTTTTATTGTTGTGATTATTTTTTTCTTTTCTTTTATGTAAAGCACTTTGAATTACCATTGTGTATGAAATGTGCTATATAAATAAACTTGCCTTGCCTTGCCTTGCCTACACAAATCTTACATTGCTTACTTTACGCTCATAGAGAGAGTAAGTTCAAAGGCACGTCTGGAGATGTTGAATACTTCACAGCCTGTCTGAGTAATTCTGACACTTCCCTAGAGGAGTTCTCCATCCAACTCAAATCTAATTTTAGTGCAGAGTAAATCAATTACAGTGCCCACCTCTGCCAAACGAAACCCACGGGAAGAACGAGGCTATTTCTAAACACACTAACACCACCATATATACTGCCTCTGTAGACTGAGCAGAACAACCCAAAAGAAACAGAAACAGACACAAACACAAATGCATTATGAACTCTGACAATCACACACACTTTGCCAATTGGGTCAAGCAAACATCTACTATAACAGCAACACGTAAAACTCCATGTCTGGACAGGGTCTCTGCTTTAGACCTCGATTGATAGTGCTTATATAGTTAAACTAGCAAAAAAAAAGTACATGTATGCACAAGTCTATCATTTGGTCATCTGACCCAAAATAATATGCATACATACACATATCCAACTAAACTTTTATGACTTTGGCCTCAAAGCTGTGACAATAAAAATGAGTGACAAGCTAAATTAGCAATTACCTTTGACCCCTGACCCCGTTTGGTTAAAGGGATCAAAGAAAGCCATAAGTTTCTTATTAATCCGTTCCACTGGGAGCATGAGACCAAAAACAGGCAAACCAAAAGTGGTGGAGGCATCAAAGCAAAACACCACAACAAAAAGGATCAGTCAAGAGGTTATGCCACAAGAGACACCGAAAATGGAGAAATAAAAAAGGTTATTTAAAAAAATCTGGTGCTCTTTAGTCTTTGAAATCCACCACCTTTTTGACATAAGATAATGGAGTCCAAGTGATTGATTGAAGCACTAGATGTTTTAAACATGCTATGCTACATTCTCACCGAAAGAAACATTTGGTTTTGAAACGTATGGATATGGAGTAGAGATGCACCGATCGATCGGCCTTTAGTAATTCCCGCAGGTTTCGTGCTTACAACAAAAGCGCGCGCACCACCACTGATCTATATTAGTGGAGCGCACAATCCGCGCTCAGTCTCAAACAGCTTATGAATCACAAATACCACAATGAGTGGCTAACTGCGCTAAAACGGTCAAATACATACAAAATTATGTCAAAATGCCCATCTTGGCGAGTCTCCAATTAAACACAGTCAGTTTTGGAACGTTACATATTTGCGAAAGAGAACGCATGCTGTGTAACAGTATATTGGGTCCGTGGATAAACTCTTAAAGGGACCACAGTCCAATATTCCTGATGCTGTCT